GGAATAATAAAACATTAAACATGTATTATAAATACTATGTAACAAAAGTTGAATTTATTTACACTTGTTTAAATATCAAAATAATAATAATAATAATAATAATAATAATAATAATAATAATAATAATAGTTGATCATAGAAAAGTATAATTATTAATAATTTAAGAAAAATAGAAAGTTTATCTAAATATATAATTATTTTCTGGTACAGCGTCGTTAAATGTATTACGTAACTGTGACCAGTCGCCGAGATCATGTCTTCCTGCATATCTAGTCTCATGATAAAGTTCATTTAAAACTGTATTTGACAGTGAGTTATTTTTATTTATGTAGCATTGAGTGTCCGAATAATTTGATTGATTTATTTGAACTTCTTCGAGATCTGGAGACCAAACTTGTTCCAAAGTGGGTATATTATACGGCGTTGTTGAACGAGCATAATAAGGCTGAAATAGTTCACAGTTTTGCACAGAGCCAAAAGATTTCTTGCGTTTTTTCCATTTTGCTCTTCTGTTTTGAAACCAAACCTAGAATTTTAAACTATTTATTATTAAATTTATATAATATATATATATATATATATATATATATATATATATATATATATATATATATATATATATATATATATATATATATATATATATATATATATATATATATATATATATATATATATATATATATATATATATATATATATATATATATATATATATATAATAAAAAAACTAAATACATAAATAAATAATATAAAATGTATATATGATAAACTATATATATATATATATATATATATATATATATATATATATATATATATATATATATATATATATATATATATATATATATATATATATATATATATAATAAAAAAACTAAATACATAAATAAATAATATAAAATGTATATATGATAAACTCACTTGTACTCGTGATTCAGTTAAACCAATCCGCAGTGCTAGTTCTTCTCTTACAAATATATCTGGGTAATGCGTTTTGTTAAAGTATCGTTCAAGTTCGTTTAGTTGTGATGGATTAAATCGTGTTCGATGACGTTTTTGTTTCAAACACCCATCTGATTCATCTTCACTTTCAGTTAAATTTTTTACTTTAAAACTTCTGTGGTTGAAACTATCTTCTTCGTTTGCAGAATCTGAGCAGTCTTTGTTATCTAATAAACAAAACTAATTTTGTTATCTAATAAAAAAAACTAATCTTGTTATCTAGTAAACAAGAAAAATTTTTAAACTAGAAATTCTTATCAAAAAGCTAACTTTCAAAAATGTTTATTATTACTTCTTTTGCTTCGAATTTAAATTTAAAATTAGTATTTTTTTTTTAATTTTAAAACTATTATTAGGTTATATTATAGCTGGAGTGAAAATAAAGTAAAAATAATTTTTTAATGAACAGTCTTAGAAAAATATAATTTCATTTAAATTCATTTAGTTATCATAATTTTGAATTAACCAATCACATTCCACTTTTTAAAAAACTATCCAATGATATTGTTTAAAACGTCATAAACAATCAAAGCATTGCTCAGTGGGCCAGAATTCACTTTTACTGGACAAAATTAATAACTTGTCAGATAAAAAAGATTTAAGAACAATTTTTACACTGCTTACTAAATTGAGCATTGCGGTTTTAATGGTGACATTAGTTTTAATTTTAGGTTGCTATAGATGGTAGCCTCTCTTTTCAAACCTCTATTCCGACGTCCGAAAACCGGGATTTAAGGGAATAGGCAAATTGGAATATATTAGGATAGGTGCTTCGCAGTGTACATACATCAACTGATTTATTTAGCCATAGGCACAGTGAGTGTGCATATATCGACTGAGAGTTTAGGCAGGTTGTTTTGAACTAAATAAATCATATATTTCATGTTTGCGAACTTAAAGGAAACTGTCGGAATAAAGGTTTGATAAGAGAACTTACCGCCATTGATACTTAAATTGCTTAGAAACCACATATTTTATAAACCATAATAAATATTAACTGGGCAAAAGTAAAAACTTTTAAAATATTTATTCGATTAATCCCATAACTACCACATTGAATTCCTTTTATACTGCAAAAGTAGTTTTTTATTGGGTTGGTTGTAACATGAAATACTTGGCAACCGTTCATTTTGCATAGTAACTAGCTTAAGTGACTTTCTTGAAGCACTAAAGTTATAAATTAGAACAATATTAATTTAGCAGTAAAAATTATTTTATGCATTTGAAAAACTAAACAGCCAATTATTAATTTTAGGTGTTTTTATGCAGTTCCAGGATTTTATATTGCTTGAAATTATTACATACTCTAAAAAAGATCGTAAAATTTAAACCTTTTTGTGTAGATATTAATATAAAAGTTTTGGTTTAAAATTTTTTTAAAACTCATTATATTCTGGTACTTTTTTTTTTTTTTTTTTTTTTTTTTTAGTGTAATTTATTTCGCCGTTAAAAAATTTTTACATTGCATATACATTTTTATAAATTGATGGCTGGAGCAAGAAGAAGGCACATTTCGCCTTATCGCCGAGCCCCATTAAAAATTCTACATAACCGTAACATACAAATATATATATAAAAGAAACAAATAGAAATGAAATAGAAAATAACTAATATAATAAAAAAAATAAAAAATAAGAATTAATTAAGAAGCGTTAAGATGCTTAACAGTTGCTAAAATGTTTAAGAAATAAGTTAATATAAAAAAAAAAAAAAAAAAAAAAAAAAAAAAAAAAATTCCTGAATATAAAAGAAATTGAAAAAATAAAATCTCATAATTAACACTAAATGAATATGTAACATCATCACTTATGACATCATCACTTGTGACATCATCACTTGGATTTCTTAATCTTTTTTTTTTTTTTTTTTTTTTTTCTTTTTTTCCTTTTTCTTTCTTTTCTTATTCATATTATCATATATCATTGATATAATTGAATCTGTTTTTTTTTTATTTTTTTTTTATTGTGTTTACTTTAAAATAAACATTTAAAGTCGGATTTATTGAGATCCATGAACAATAATAATCGTTTTGATTCATCCTTAAATTGCTCTAATGTAGTCTGCTTTTTGTTAACAATATCTGGAAATTTCTTCCACAGATAAGGTCCGTGGTATTTAATTGAATAGGAAGTTAATTTTAATTTATGTTTTGGAACAACAAAATTGTTTTCTGAAAACTTTGTTGAGTACCTATGGTTAATTTTATTAAAATAAGATTGAAATATTTTAGGAGACAAATCCTTTTTTGTTTTAAACATAAACAATAAAACTTGGTGTAAATTAAGTTTATATACATTTAAAGCACCGAGCACACTTAGAAGTGGTTCGCAAGGAACATTTCTGTCGGCTCCAAATACTATTCTACATGCATGTTTTTGTTTATTGTAGAGTTTCTTTAGTTTTGTATGACTTGTAAAACAGCTTTAGCTTCTTTTTCTTTATGATCTTGGCGCAAACTGCGACCTAATGCAACTGATGCAACAAACTGCAACCTGATGCAAATAAAAGTTCTGAAGATGAAAATGATTAAATTTATGGCGTTAATCTTCTTTTCTTTGTTTTTCTACTTTTCTATATTCTAAGTATTAAGATTCACCTACCAGGTTACGATAAAAGTTACGATAATTTACGATACAGTTACGATAAAAGTTACGATAATTTACGATACAGTTACGATAAAAGTTACGATAATTTACGATACAGTTACGATAAAAGGAGAGTTATCTTTATCAAGATAACTCTCCTCTTATCGAAAGTAGTTGGAAGAACCAAATCACTGTTTACCCATTATTTTTTATTCTCTTTGAAATAAATTTTAGAGCTTTTGCATATATGCCAACTCTGTTGAAAAGCTTCATTAAAGTAGACAAGTTACTATTTGCAGTTAAGCTCATGCCATTTACAATTGCATTTGTAATCAAAGTTATTAGGATCAGTTAACTTTAAGTTTTCTTATATTATATATGAACAAATATCAATATGTTTTTTGTTTTAATAACACTATATAAAAATATATATTACATGCACACATTTTCAAAACCGTTTAAAGAGGTAATTTATGAGGTGCAAACATTAAAATAATTGTAACACTAATCTAGTCTCACTGAGACTCAATTATTACATAGCCATTTAGAATAAAGTATATATAATAATCGCCACATAAGATTGGATACGTCATTTAACTTGTAAAAATCATTATTACAGACTAAGCGGACATAGGCTATATATGTGTATATATATATATATATATATATATATATATATATATATATATATATATATATATATATATATATATATATATATATATATATATATATATATATATATAGTAGTTAACAATGTATATATATATATATATATATATATATATATATATATATATATATATAGTTTAAAAAAATATTCTAAACAAATCACCTGGTGAAAGTCTGGGCATCTTTCTCATTCTTATGTTAAATAGAAATGAGCTTTTGAAATCAGCAAAGAAAGAATATTCTATTTAAGCTAAAAAAAAAAAAAAATTAAAAACCAAAAAATATATTTCTGTTCTATTATTCCAAAAACTCTAAAGCAATTTTCCCTAATTTTTACATTTTTATTTTTGACACAAAAGTTCACCTTAAACAAATTTAAAACATTACAGTACTTTTTTTAAACTTTATTCTATATAATGAAAACAAAAAATTTGCAGTGCAACGCATGTTCAACTTGGCTTGCAATAAATGTTACAACTAAAGCAGTTTTGGCATTACAGTTCAGAAAATTTGGATGAATATGCAGTTCAACAATAAATATGTTATAATATAATAAAAATAATACATGTAATAAAGTATGATATAAATGGCGGGCTATAATATAAATGTAAAGTACAGAGTTTTTTAAAACTATGTTTGAAGAAAACTAAAGGTGACCTAATTATAAGCTTTTTATTATAATATTATAGAGTACTATCTAGACAACAGTTTTATCGATTCTGAAGTCCAGTACTCTAACCGCTTCAAAATGGTTGTGTAAATAGAATTTGTTTGTTAATAGAATTAAATCAATTAAATATACTGGTAAAAGGCTACGCGGTTAAATGGTTTTAACCAGATTAAAAAAAAGAATAAGGATTAAAGATTATTTGCTTCAGGTGAATATATTGTTTTTTAGTGCGTTTTTTGTCTTTTAACACCCACCTTAATTAGTGTTAGATGGATATCTTTAGACAATATACGCACACACACACTCACTAAGTATTTATTAATTTTTTAAAAAGTCTTATTTGAATATATTCAGTGTTCAATTTCTTTTTTTCAATATTTGAATTTTTCAATATTTCAATATGAATTTATTTTCAATATTTCAATTTGAATTTATTTTTAATATTTCAATATGAATTTATTTTCAATATTTCAATATCAATTTTTAATATTCTATCTTCAATTTGAATATATTCAATGTTCAATTCAATAAATGTTCAATTTAAAATCTCCAATATACCTCAAATTCTATATCTTTTTAGCATTAGTATATGTATGGTGGTTTTCTAAATAATTTATTTGTATTGACAGTCAACCATATTTTTTTTTTACAACAAATATGTCTAAAAAGGTAAGCTTTTATTATTTAAAACAGTCTCAAAAATCAGCAAAGCTTTCTAAAGCTATGCTGATTTTTAAATTATTTTACTACAAATTAAATTTTTTGTCTTGGCAAAGCTTTATAAAGCTTTGTCAATACAAATAAATTATTTAGAAAACCACCATACATATACTAATGCTAAAAAGATATAGAATTTGAAGTATATTGATTTTAAATTGAACATTTCTTATTTTTGGTGGTATAATTATTTTTTTTAATCTATTTTTTTTTTAATGATACTTTAAACATCTTAGAATATATTAGACGCTAATAGAATATTAAGCACACTTAGAATATATTACAATTTTAAATGCTTTATTTTTGCAAAAGTTAAAAATTAAACTGCAAAAAAACCACAACTGTAACTTATATAATAATTTGTAACATATAGTTAACATATAAGTTTCTAAAAATATTTATTTAGAAAAATTAGAATTTTAGCAAAAAATAATGGAAAAATATAATTTTGTGCTGAAAATATGCAAGCAAAATATTTTGTAGATGTGGCTTTAGATTTAAAGATTTGGATATGAAATCTTACTTTAGCTGAATCTTACTTTTAGCGTCATCGATTCTTTAAATATTTTCTTAAATGAAAAATTAATAAAAAAAAAAAAAAAAAAAACTCTGGCGTTGCATTTAAGGCAATTACCAATCATCCGTTGAACGTGTTTAATGACCATTCATTTAAGTGATAACCAACTGTTATCTGTCATTTTTTATCATCAAATACAATATTATTAGAAAAATTTTTTTTTTCTTTGGCAATAGCTTTTAACTTTGGCAATAGATTTTAGCAACAGCCAAAAAAAGTCAAAAATGAAACAAATACAACTACAAGAAATAAAGTTACTACTACATATAAAAAGATATTTGAGGAAAACGTTAATAACCTCATTCTAGTTTATAATAACTTCCACTATATGAAATTTTTACAAATGTTATATTCCTTGTCGTTAGACTCCCCTGCTCCCAATTTGGGAAAAGGGCTCAGCAATTTTAGAGGGCCTATAAGGAAATTTAGAAGCCTTTTTCTGAATATAAGCCTTTTTCTAAATAAGGAGCTTTTTTTGGGGGGGATTACTCAAAGGAAAATTTTTTAAGACTTGGGGCCCTAATGGCACATTTTGAAGATGAGGAGCGGCCCCGACCCTAAACATCTCTATTAATGTTGTTTTCATATTATGCTATTAATAAGAACCAAAAAGGCTACGCTATTAACAGAGAATATTTTTTAACAATAAAAACCAATAAATCACTAAATAACACACCATGAGTTCAAGTTCTTTTTCAAATTGATTTGAATCTAAAAAACTCTTTACATCTTGTCAAAGAACTTTTTTGGGTTGTCAATAAATTACGTCACGCATTTTTTGACCGTTTTTAAACTCCCCCCCCCCCCCCATACTTTAATAAAAAAATCCCGTATGAGCCGTCACAAAACCACTAACATCTACAATTCCCCCTTTCACACACGTACACACTTAGAGCACGACGTAATTTATGGACGATCCCGTTTACACTTTCTAAAACTCATATAGTAGCATATTAGTTGTTTAATGCAAAGCAACCGTATATTGTGCAAAATGTTGTTTCTGTCATTTTTTCAACAATTTTTTTTTGTTTATTAATATAAAATCTACCTTTTTTAGAAATTTATGTTAAAAATGCTCGTTCTAAACTTGCCTTGTTTATTTAATTTTTCCTTAGTCTAATCAAAACAATTTAATTAATCTGATCACCAACTCCGAATTATATTTTCAACTTTCAAACAACAATTATCGAGATTATTTAATAGCATTCCATTACATTTTAATTTACATAATTGTAATTTGTAACTTTTATTTTTTGTACTTGGTGTTTTAAAAGATTTTTTGAAAAAAACGTTACTTATACTGTTTTGTCAATAAATATTTATAAACAATTGCTAATATCACAAATATCAAATATTTAAGACTACTTACATAGAAATTGTGTCCTTCATCAAAATAAAGTTTCTGACTTGAGCAACTGCAAGTCGTAACTTTAGCAATTTCTGAAGCGGATGCAACATTTTATTCGTTTTAAAACTTAGAATCGATTATTCGGTTCGCATAGCGTTTTCTAAAACGTTTCACAGCCCCGCTACTAAAAGTCGCCTTTGACGAACAAAAGCGATGAAAAATCTATCACTGTTAAGACAGCTTTAGCCCGACTATTTTTAAAAATTTCAACAGTAAGTTGTGAAGCCGCTTTTTTCTTTTAGTTATTCAATTTTAGATCTTATGTGTAATTACAGTAAATGTTTTATTTCTTTGTTTCTATTGATTGTTTTTGTTTTTTTTATGTCTATTTGTATCCATATAGATTTGAAACATTCTTTTTTTTATTTTTAAAGTTTACTCTTAAAAATTTTTCTTTTTTTTTTCTATATTATAAATGAAAATATAATACTAAAAAAAAAAAATTATTTAATTTTATTTCAGATTTTTATATTGTGTATAATAATTTTGATATAGTTATAATTACATGATATAGATTTTAACATTTTACTTGAGTATTTATGCAATGAAAATTTGGCTATATGCAGGTGCTTTCGCATAGATACTTCAAATTTATAGTTAACTGGATTATCACATAAAGAAAATTATTTAAATCTTTTACTTTACTAATCTAATAAATTTGTTCATTTAAATAGTTTTTAAAAACTGAATTTACTAAAACATTTTTAAAGTCCGTTTTTGACAATAAGTAAGTGGTTGAAAAACGAATCTTTTCTATTTTTCTTTTTAAATTTTGAATTTATTAATAGATAATTATATGATTTTGACTATTTATTCGTTATTTTTTTCAATTAAATTATAATAAATTTAAAACAACAATTAATTAGTTAAATATCAAATAATTATCAAAATATCAAAATAGTTAACGTGTCTAAAATATCTAGCAAAAATGACGTAATCAATGACGTAATCGTGACGCTATTTTTTTTTTTTTTTGTTTTTTTTTTCAATAAATCGTAATTGATGTTATTAGTATTAATTTTTTAAATTACATTAAAATTGTATTTTATTTATATATAACTTTAACTATACTTTTATAAGTTTACTTATAAAACTATTAGTTATAGTATATAAACATAATTCATATATTAATTTTTTTTTTTAATATATTTATAAATTATAAAAATTACTATTTTATTTGTTTATACGTTTTTGTTTATAGAAAGAAACAAAAGCAAAAAAAGGTACATTCATACGATATAACGGTGTTAGATTACGTCATTTTTATGCTTTTAAATGTTGCTTACTCTTAAAACAACTAATATTGACACTTTTAATGATAATTTAAGAATTGCATATTAGCTGGCAAGTGTATTACTTTATCATTATTTTTAGATTATAACATTAAATTTATTAATATAATTTTATAATAATTATTACAATCAAGCTATGTCCCATTCAATTAATACGCTGCCCCGTTTAATTTTTTTTTTTTTTTTTTTTTCAAAAGAAAAAAAGTTTTGTTATAAAACGCGTAGTATTGTAAGCGCAATACTAAAACAAGTAACATATTAAGAACAAAAGTAATTCAATTCTAAAACTTAAACACGGTATAGAAGATATATCTTGTTGGAAGTATTAATTTCTATTCATTTGGATAATATTTATAACTTTATTTATAACCTCACATATGAGTTTATAAATAAAGTTTATAAGTAACATGATGTCATTTTGATTTTATAACAAAGATCCTCTCAAGAAAACTCCTTCAACATTTAAGAAAAAAAATAATATACAAAACATAAAAAAAAAAATAGTATTTTGTAATAGAATAAAAGTTGCCCACAAAAAAAAATATGTATATTATCCATGTACAATTAGCAAAACAATTTTTGCAGCATTAAAAAAAATATTATATTACTAATTTGGTACCTCGCAACATCTTACCTTGCAGAATTTATTTATTACCATTAATGAGTTGTAAAATGTATCATATTTTTTATTCATTTATACATTATTTTAAATAAGTAATTGCAGCATATACAAAAAATTTGTCGCATACTTAAATACATCAATCGTACGAATAATAACTGCGCAACATTTAAATGACGTTCAAAAAGTACTATTTTTAGTGGGTTTTTTTAATGTATAAAACTAAAGTATTGCTTGCTGAGCACAGATTCTATACAATATTTAATATAGCTAATACAATATAACTGTTTTTTGTTTTTTTTTTACAATTTTTCACAATTTTTCAAAATCTTTTATTTTTAAGAGACAAAACTTCTTTATTCAGTATCTTTACTTTTGACCGGTATTATTTAGCCAGATTCACAGAGTACGAAATAAAGCGTCATTTTCTTAAAATTTATTTTTGACTTATTTTTAAACTTATTTTATTAATTATGTTAATAAATTTTTTTATTAATATTGCAAAAAAAAAAAAAAAAAAAAAAAAAAAAACAATTATTAAATGATATAAACCGAATCAAAATATAACATAGACATAAACGCCAGGTTTACGCGATTAGACCCAGGCTCATTTTGACGCTAGTTAACTTTTGTAATGTATAACGCTCTCTAATTTTAAAAAAAAAGTTTAAACACATAGCACTTTTAAAGTTTGTACTACTTATTTTTATAATAACTGTTATAGAGAGTTATTATAGAGATTTGTTATAGAGTTATATAGAGTTGTTATAGACATTCTTATTTAATCATATTTTAAGAAAAGTTTTAAAAGAAAAAAAACTTAACTATTTTATTCGAGACATAAATCTAAATTGTTCTGAATATCAAACTAATAACAACATAAAAACATTTTATGACGGACATTATTTTTTTATGACGGTTTATTTCAGAACGGCGCTATTCCATTAATAAACAGACCAACAAAAGTAACAGAAACATCAGCTTCCGTAATAGATAACATAATAACAACTGATATCTTTAGCAATTCGCTTAAAATAGGTATAATAAAAAATAACGTGTCTGATCACTTCCCTATTTTCTTTTCTCTAAATCTTGTTACCGAAATAATACAACAACAAAAACAAATTTTCATCAAACGCTTTTCAATGAATCAAATATCCAATCATTTAACGATCATTTATCCCTACTTAACTGGAAAAATATCGACTCTACATTAGAAGCAAACGTAGTCTATAACACATTCTACGAAATATTTTATGATATCTATGACGCAAATTTCCCAAAAATCAAAATAATTAAATCAAATAAAAGCCTTAAATCACCGTGGATCAATAAAGACCTCAGAATGTCCTCAAAAATTAAGCAAAAACTTTATATAAAATACTTAAAACCAACACAATTGAAAACAAAACAATATACAAAAATTATACTAAACAATTTGAAAATAATTAAAAAAAAAAAAAAAAAAAAAATACTATTTAAATTTGCTAGAGAAACATAAACTCAATTCAAAATGCACTTGGCAAATTATAAGTGAAATCACGGGCAAACAAAACTTAAAATTGTGTTCTCTATTTAAAGTCATTAATATTAATGATAAAATAATAGATGATCCTAAAGAAATAGCAAACGAACTAAATAAATTCTTTGTTTCTGTTGGACCTAATCTATCAAAAAACATTCCAAATGTGATAAATCCAATCAATAATTATGAATTTCCTCTAACCTCTGGTCCTTTGAACTGTCATTTTCAAAATTTGAAAATGCTTTCAAAATGCTTAAGCCCAATAAAGCAATTGGCCCAGTTGATTTAAATGGAAACATTGTCATCAAGTCATACGATAATATAAAGAATACTCTATTTAAAGTTCTTAATTGTTCAATAAGTCAAGGAATTTTTCCGGCCCAAATGAAGGTTGCAAAAGTGGCCCCTATATATAAAGGTGGTGAACTAAAAAATGTTCGCAATTATCGTCCAATTTCAATATCGTCAATTTTTTCTAAAATTCTTGAAAGAATTTTATTTGATCGAATTTTTAATCATCTCTCTGAAAATAATATACTTTACAACAATCAGTACGGTTTCAAAAAAAATAACTCTACAGAACACGCAGTACTTCAACTCACAAGAATTATTACTGACTCCTTCGACAAATCACAATTTACTTTAGATATTTTTATAGACCTATCTAAAGCTTTTGATACTTTTGATCTCGGCATTCTATTAAATAAATTAGAACATTACGGTATCACTGGTAAAGTCTAAATGTTATTAAAAAGTTACTTAAATAATCGTAAACAATTCTTGCATATTGATACACACTCAACAACTACTGCTTTAGATATATCCTGTGAAGTCTCCCAGGGTTCCATACTTGAACCACTGTTCTTTCTAATATATATTAATGACCTCTATAAAACTTCGACAATAATGTATGCTGACGATACTAATATTTTCTTATCCCGAAATGACATCAATAACTTATTTAATAACATGAATGTAGAATGTATCTCTCCTATAAGCTTTATTTATAAGTTTGAGTTAAATAAAAGTGATAACTATAATCTTAGAGCGAATATGTTGAACACATATAAACTACCTAGGATAATCAATAAATATTCAGAATACAGCATTTTATATCGAGGTCCAAAAGTATGGAACATTTTTCAATAAGGGTTCAATGGTACGGTGAGTTCGTTTAGTTCATTCAAGTTTTTAACAAAAAATGAAATTTTGAAAACCTGTGAAACATTTTTTGTTAATAATGCTTTGGATAAATTCTCTTAAATACGTTTTTGTTTTGTTTCTACTTTTGTTTGTTGCCTGACAAATTTTATAAGCGAATTACGCATTTTGTCATGATATTTTATTGAAATTTTTATTTTGTATGTCATATTATGATATTTTAATAAAACCTTGTTAAAGGAGTTCTATGAAAAGATTGCGATGACGTTCTGTCATCCTCATCTTCTTTGAGCCCCTATCTGTTTTACTTATTTTGTTAAGTTTTATGTAATTTGTAAAATTCTTATGTTATGTAAACAGAAAAAAAAAAAAAAAAAAAAAAAAGAACTAAAGAAAATATCTGACTGGTTTAAATCAAATAAGCTTTCACTTAATATTGAAAAAACTAAGTGGATTCTTTTTCACTCAGCTTATAAAAAGCATATTCTACCAAGTGAAATGCTGCCGCTTTTCATTGATAAAATTAATATAAAAAGAGTAACTTATACTAAATTCTTAGGTATTATTGTGGATGAAATTCTTTCATGGAAAAACCACATTGGAAATCTAAATAATAAAATTGCAAAAAGTATTGGGATTCTATATAAAACAAGAAGCATTTTAAATAAACATACTTTAGTTCAACTATATTACTCATTAATTCACTGCCATATTAACTATGCTAATATTGCCTGTGGTAGTACCAACAAAATTAAGTTAAAGCCTTTGCTTTGTCAACAGAAGCATGTAGCACGTCTTATTAATTTTAAAGATCGTTTTACTCATGCCAAGCCTTTATTATCAAACATGAACATTCTTAATATTTACGAAGCAAATATATTTAACTTTCTTTGTTTTATGTTTAAATGGAATATTAATGCTTGTTCTGTTTCTTTTCATAAGTTATATTCAATGAAAAATATATATATATATATATATATATATATATATATATATATATATATATATATATATATATATATATATATATATATATATATATATATATATATATATATATATATATATATTAAGAAATAATAAACATATCCAACAACCAATTTTTCAATCAAATATAGGCAAATCTTGCATTTAATACCGTGGAGCCTTTTTATGGAACAAAATAGCTTTAAAACATTTTGATTTTTCGCATAATTTGAATTATTTTTTTTCATAAGAAAACTAAAAGAAGTAATTTTTTCAATTGATAATATATTTTTTATATTTTTAAATTATTACCCATTCCACAAAATAATTAAAGAATTGTAATCTGAACGACAATATTTTTTAGACTACATATTATATATTATATATTGACATTACATATATACTGATGAAAACTGATGTAATTTTTTGAGCTTTTGTTTGCTTTTTTTGTTTGTTTTTGCATAATATTAAATAATGAGAAATATTATATATTTATTCACATATATTATAAAATATTGTTAAAACTTGCTTAACATCTAAAGAGTATTATAATATATAAACGCATTTAAAAATTGTTTTAAATATTTGTAAATTCCTTTATGTATTTTAACTCTTAATAAAGATTGTAAAGGGCTTCATGATAAGATTGTGTGATCTTCTGAAAGTCCTACCAGTAATATATTCAATGTAAATTTATTTTGTACATATTATTCTGACAAAAAAAAAAAAAAAAAATTGTGTTTGTAATTTCGAAAAATAATGACCTTAGAGCTGGTAGCAAGCATAGTTTCAATTAAAATTTATGAGTGATTAGGAAGCAAAAAATTTGTTGAAAAAAAGGTCATTTTTTGTTGGTTTATAAATGTTTTAAATGAGGCAATAAAAAACAAGCTGTTAATTAATGAGGTAATATAATTAATATAATAAATAATAATTGATGAAATATAAAAATTGGCTATTATTTATTTAAATATTTGCAGTTATTTATCTTTACAAAAATACAAAATTTTCAACCGTGTCTTTAAAAGCAGTTCTTTTTGTTCCTTTTTTAACCGTAAATTAAATTGCATACTCACTAAATTATAAAGATGGTGCGACAACGATAATTTTTTAAGAGTGAGCATTCAAAAAATAAAACTAAGTGTGTTAAGAAGATATGGGGTATATTTTAATATACTGTATGGGGTATATTTAAAAACAAAAGGCAGATTCCTAATATACACTTTTAGCACATATAATACACAAGTCAATAGTTAACATTATTATAAAAAATTTATAATTTCGTTTTTTTTGTTATTTGTACTTTAAATTTAAGTTAGAAAAAGTTTCACATTCTAAAAATATTTACAGCGGCATATTTTTTAGAAAAGTAACATGACGTTTCCGTGATGTAGGTTTTTCCGTGGTTTCATACTAGTATTTTTTATGCTTTTATTTTGTCTGAGAAAAATGTTTTACTGCACTTGCAAGAAAAAGAAGGAATAGTCACTTCCTTCAAAGTTTGAAACAAAGCAGGTATAAACTCCGGTGTCCATGGTTGTTACGTTTGAAATTGTCAAACGTAAACCATATGGGTCTGTATCATCATGAACATACATGTTCATTGGCTTATGATATGCTGTCTTCAATTTAAAAACAGAGTAGTGATCAGCTGAAACATAATTTGATTCAAAAGGCATCTCTTTTTGATTAACGTCATTCCATCGAAAGTCTTCTGGAATAACAGGCAGTTTTAAGCGATCTTCTTTGTTGAACAAATGAAACCAACGTACGTCTGGTATAGTTCCGGATAATATTTCCAAACACTCGAACGTTACATTTTCGCCAACTTTAGCTATTTGAAATTGCGGTTTTGTAAAAGGAATAACCTTTGGTGGACCAGCACTTAGTTTCCCTAAAATATAACAATACCATTTCTTATAACTTTATATATATATATATATATATATATATATATATATATATATATATATATATATATATATATATATATATATTATATATATATATATATATATATATACACACACAAACAGCAGCATAATGAAAAAAAAAAAATTTATATAGGTTTTTAAAGTAAAAATTGTAAAATATTTCATAACCCAATTTAATATTTTTTTAGAAACAATTGGATGTATGAATAAAAAAATCAATGCCACTATTGTTGAAAAGTTGGTAGTATATTACGTTTACACTATTAAAGAAAATATTGGCTAAAGTATTCGCTATTTCACCAATGGACTCCAACTCTATTGGTTTATTAACAATGATTTTTTTAAGTGTATTTTTGATTAAGTAAATCAGTTATATTTTAAGGACATACTACATTGAATATACTCACACAATATTCTTAGTTCGTAGGTGAATGAAATATTTCCAAAGTCATTTATTGCCACGCATGTATACAAACCAGCATCGTTTACTTTAAGACTTTCAAAAATCAAGTCTCCAACTTCAGCATTCTCAGACTTCAAGGTGTTTTCATTTTGAATAGGTACGTGTCTAAAAGGTTCACCATTTTTAAGCCATATATAATGCACACCATTGTCGGCATGAGCTTGACACGGTAGTTTTATAGCTTGTTTTGTCGCTCTAATATTTTTCTGCTTGCGTAACATCATTTCATAATCTGGAAACGATGGTACTTTTGACTTTAGACCTGACAAATTATTGAAAAGAGTTAAACTGCATGAATTTTTTTCTCGTTTTTAATCTTTTTTAAAGTTTATATGTAAAAAAAAATTTTAATAACTTTATTATTACATCTCATTACTTACTTTTTAATTTAATGTTGTAAGTGAATGATAGATTTCCAAAACTATTGCTAACTGTGCAAGTGTAGAAACCTCCGTCACTTTCACGTAATCTTTTTATTTTCAACATGGATCTACAATATTTAGTTTATCTATAAACTGTACATGGATCTACAATGCTATTGTTATCTATATATTTTAAAATGATATTTATATAATATGTATGTGTGATAAGTTGGGGAAAAGAGAATGCGTGGAACACTACGGGTAAATGATTATTATAATTTTGTCATTTAAATTACCTGGCTCAAATTATGTGTAAGGGTTTGTAATATTCAGTCAAATATTAACGGTTGAGTTAAAAAAAAATTTTTACAATCAGATGTTAATGATTTATGATTCAGTACGAATGTTAATGACTCATGATTATGTTAATGGTCTAATCATATACCACTGGTAATCGGTAATTGCATTTGGATAGGGTGGAGACACACTATCCGAATGTAACGGAGCTGCATTCGGATAGGGTCGGGACAATTAAATTAATCTCACTTAAAAGCTTTCAATTGAACTAATGATAATTTAAGTAAAGTACAAAATATACAACGTATTCATAAAAAATTAAGGTGTTAAATAAAAACGTATCTAATAAACAAATATGTTACAAATACTCACTGGTCTTCCGCAAACTTTAATCTTTTTTTGGCTGCTATAACTTCTCCGTTATACATCCAGGTGTACTTTAATGGTTTTTCTCCTGTTGCCATGCAAGTTAAAATAAGGTCATTCCCATGAGTATAAATTTTACTGTTTGAATACTTCATAAACATCGGTTTGCGGAACGATGGGTTCAATGACTCTACTTCATTATTCATTTCATTTGCACCGTTTTCTTAAAGATAAAAGAAAAAGAATAGAATTTATACTTTATAAAATAAAGTATGTCTTTCAATTCAAAAATGGCTTTTTCAATTTTAATAGTTTCTGGTTGATTCAGATATACATATACAAATACATACATACATACATACATACATACATACATACATACATACATACATACATACATACATACATACATACATACATACATACATACATACATACATACATACATACATACATACATACATACATACATACATACATACATACATATAGTAACCCCAGTCTCCAACACAATGCAAACGTCTGCTTAAAAAGCATGCCCCAACGCCTGAAAGCCGTTATACTTTTATAACTATTCTAGAAGTAAATTTAATCACGATTTTATATTAACTTGCTAAAATTTAACGATTTCTGAAGAAGTGTTAAAACTTAAATGAAAAATAATTATCCGAACATGTTGTTTTGGAAACGAAGTTTAGAAATTGATTATTAAAAAAAGTTTTTAAATCAATAATATTGTTGTTTTACAACAAATAATTTTTGATAATTTAGGTCAATAAATGAAGCGACTGGAATGGCATTAGGAACCATCAGCAATCTAATTAAAAAGTATAGTATGTTTGGATATGTGCAAAATCAGCCAAGATCCTTCTGAAAGATTTTGGGTTACAAGTGAGCTCGTGTACTATTCGAAATTGAATGAAAGAAAGTGGATTCAAAGCAAGAGTTTCACGCAAGAAACCATTCCTTTCAAAAATCCATGGAAAACGAAGACTTGCATTTGCTAAAAAATATGTACATATGCCGGTATCATTCTGGAGGATAGTTTTGTGGACGGACAAGTCAAAATTTAATATTGTGACGTCCAATGGAGCTCAAAAAGTATGAAGAAAAAAAGGTGAAGCACTTACACTCAGTTGTATTTGAGGCACAGTAAAATTTAGTGAAGGCAGTGTTATGGTATGGGGATCGTTGGCTTAGAACAGAACAGAAAAATTGGAGTTTATTGATGGAATTATGGATTCTGAGGTTTATGTTAACATTTTCAATAAAAATCTTCTGGCTTCAACTAAAAAACTGCGATTAGGAAAGCATTTTATCTTCCAACAAGACAATGACTCTAAACATACGTCAAAGAGAGCAAATGAGTTTTTTATCCAAAAGCAAATTGAATTACTTGAATGGCCAACGCAAAATCCAGATCTCAATCCAATTGAACATTTCTCGGCTATTCTGGATAAAAAATGTGGCACACGATATCTAAAAAGAAAAGAAGAGTTAAAGATCATGCTCCAAGAAGCTTGGGCTGAAATCTGACTCAGATACGACAAAGAAATTAGTTGAATCGATACCATGTCAACTTCCAGAAGTCATAAAAGCCAAAGGCGTCCAACTTCCAGAAGTCATAAAAACTAAAAATTTGATATTAAAAAGTTATAAAAATAATTGTCTGAAAAGCGTTAATCCCTAAGCCTTAATCTTTAAATTTTTGTTCGGATACTTATATAATGCTAAAAAAATGCATAGTTTAAATGTATTTTAATTTTTTATCAAGTAAATATTATTATTGATATTTTTTTTTTTGCGTTTTGAAATCGTAATTAAATTTTCTTTCAGAATAATTGTTTTTTTATTTTTATAAAGCTATTTTTTTATGATATAACCTGTTAAAGTTTTTTTTCCCTAATAAAATGTTTTGTTCGGATACTTATATCTCTAACTGTATATATATATATATATATATATATATATATATATATATATATATATATATATATATATATATATATATATATATATATATATATATATATATTATATATATATATATATATATATATATATATATATATATATATATATATATATATATATATATATATATATATATGTATATATATATATATATATATATATATATATATATATATATATATATATATATATATATATATATATATATATATGCATACATGCATACATGCATACATGCATGCATACATACATACATACATACATACATACATACATACATACATACATACATACATACATACATACATACATACATACATACATGCATACATACATAAATACATAAATACATACATACATACATGCATAAATACATACATACATACATACATACATACATACATACATACATACATACATACATACATACATACATACATACATACATACATACATACATACATACATACATACATACATACATACATACATACATACATACATACATACATACATACATACAGGACCGGAAATAGGGGAGGAAACTATAGCTACAGCACCGGTGTCTCCACAAAAAGAGGGTCCCATACAATAAATAATTTAAAATCAGGGTAAATAATTTAAAATCAGACTAATAAACTCTAGCAAGCAACTCTCCTTTTGATTTTTTTTTCCTTTTACCTTTACCTACAATACTTTGTACAAACACGGTTACATTAAGTATTAACATAAATCGTCGATTTATTTTATTCGTTCAAAATACGTTCGTTTCAATTAGACAATCACTAGAAGTTGTACCTTTTTAATTAATTTTTAATTTAATTAAAATTAATCCATAATTTTGTATATAATATGCGAAGAACTGATCAGTTCTATGGGTGATAAAGTAATCACTGAAATAGTATGCAGGATAAAAAAATTTAAATATTATTCTGTACTAGTGAACTCTACTCCAACAAATCTCACATCAAACAACTAACTATAGCTGTTTGGTATATGGAAGGATCAACACTAAAAAAAAGATTTCTCACTTTTTTTCCAAACTGCAGTCGTTTGCGAAGTCACAGCAAACACTCTACTCAAATTTTTAAATGACTATTAAATAGACATAATGGATTGTCGTGGCCAATCGTACAACTATGTTGCAAACATGAGAAATAAATACAAACGGATGCAGTCTCTAATTTTGAAGAAAAATCTTTTATTTGCGTTTGTACCGTGTTGTAGTATTCTCTTAATTTAATTGGAAAGACAGCTGACAACTTTTTTTCATCAGCTGTTTAATTCTTTGATTTCTGTTAGAGTTTGTATACATTTTTTACTGCAAGTACAGAACGATATGGAATTCTGATTAAGAAATTATTGAAGAAAAAAAACGTTTAACATCTTGAATAAGCTTAACGACACTCTTTGGCCTCAAGTTGATGCTAAGAAAGCCATAGTTGACGGTTATTCGGAAATCAAAAAACTCTAATTAGCAAATCTTCCAATAAAGAGAAAAAAGACGTCGCAAGGAATGAAGCAGTGCGCCTTTTACAGAGGATGAGTGGTCTCGAAACCGCTTTATTTACAATATTTTTAGAACAACTTTTTGGAACAATTTAAGGCTACAAACAAGATGTTGTAAGACCCAAAAATGATTTCTTAATCAACAATGCGTGCATTAGAATCATTGAAATCATTTTTGGAATCAAAAAGAAACGATTTTGATAAATATAAGAAAGCTGCCAAAAATATATATCTCAGTCTGACAAATACGTACAGCACGCACCAGGACCAGAACGATAAACATAAAGTTGAACCTGCTCAATTACGGAAAAGCACAATACCTAAATTTGTCACAGAAGGAAAAATACAAAGTATCCGCTTTTATCCCAATGATCTACCAACTACGTGTTTCTCTAACCAAAAGATTACATGCCTATGAAGCTGAATGTTTGAGGTTTACGTATCTTAATTACTTCGAGATGATGGATGCTGAAAGTTTCCACGCTACAGCAGAGGCGTTGGTGGAAGTTTATCAGAGTGATTTAGAACCTAGTATTGATAATGAATTTAAACTGATTTGTGAGTATGATCTGCTCATACAAAAAGGACTATGGAAAAGACCAATCTCTGGAACTATTTTACTACTAAGTTCTTAAAGATCAAAAGCTCAGAACTGCATTTTCAAACCTGGAAATGACATTGAGAATGTATTTGTTTTTGATGGTATCTAATTTGTATTTGAGAGCTTTCATTTTCGAAAATAAAAACTATAAAAATTAGGCTTCGAATCACGATGAAAAAATTGTATATCAAAGTTTTTTCTCCGAGGCCTCCACACCTCTAAATCCGGCTCATTTAAAATTTTGATAAAGAAACTTTTTCGATAAATTTTTAATTTTTTTTTAACCTAATAATCTTTTCTTCTTTTTTTTAAAAATGTGTGAAAAACTTAGAAAAATATTTTTGCTTGCGGTCGACTTAAAATATCTTCTTACTTTTAAATTTCTATTTCCGGGAAAAAGGCATAACTTTTAATAGCAGAAAAAACAAACCCTTGCGTTGAATGAAATAACATTTAATATGTTAACTTAATTTTGTCTACAACCTTCGAGGGTTGGTTGCCTGCAAATACTTGCAATCAACTCACTTTAAATGACAGCTGGCAATAATGGAGTTTATTGCAAATATTTTAAAGCAGCCAACCTTCGAACGTTATTTATAAAATTAAGTTAACAAATTTACAGTTAGTATATTGCAAACCAACAGTTATTGATGGTAAAAGGATTCACAGAAAAGTCTCAGTAAATTTAAAAAACAATACTAAATAACTATAAATACAACATATGTTTAACTTGTTGATAAAGATCACATAATTTAAGCTACAGTTCCGACTCCGGCAATAGCAACGGTAGCAAATCAAGACATGTATAAAAAGTGCCATTATGTTTAGGGTGAAGCTTTAACAACTCAAAATTGTAAATTTTATCAGTTTAAAACTTCTAAATTCAAGATTTAGCTTTAACTAACAAGCATACCAAAGCGATATACATTTATATATATATATATATATATATATATATATATATATATATATATATATATATATATATATATATATATATACATATATATATATATATATATATATATATATATATATATATATATATATATATATATATATATATATATATATATATATATATATATATATATATATATATATGTGTATATATATATATATATATATATATATATATATATATATATATATATATATATATATATATATATATATATATATGTATATGTATATATATATATATATATATATATATATATATATATATATATATATATATATATATATACATATATTTATATGTATATCGCGTTGGTATGCTTGTTAATTAAAGCTAAATCTTGAATTTAGAAGTTTTAAACTGATAAAATTTACTATTTTGACTTGTTAAAGCTTCACAATGTTAATCAAAACTGTAATTTAATGCACCACTTAATAATTTACGGTGGGCATGAAACTAAAACTATACTATAAAACTATATCTGCAAGAAATGTAAAATAATGCGATCTTTTAAAGAAATGTAAACCACCTCTCAAAAAATAATGAATGATAAAATTAGAAACAACTTAGCCCGCGAAAAAAAAATCCGGTCAATTATAAAAAAATAAAATAAAATTTTTATTAAAAAGTAAACTACAGCAAATGTTGTAAAAAAAAATATATAGATACGTTTCATAAGCTATTTCCTATAAATAACGCAAAAAGTAAACAAAATTATGCAAATTTAGTTTTTATTTTATAGGAAACATTTTCAAAAAAGGGTTTTTAACCATGTAAATAAGAAAACAAACATGCTAATCAATGTCCGGTAACATCAAAGAATGTGGTCTTTTATTTTAAAGACGGTATTTTTTCCACGTTTAAATTTTTTTTTAAACCCAACAAAAAAAAAAAAAAAATGTTTTGCATTAACTAGTGATTGTAGTAAACGTACGTATCTATTGTAATTATTTTGAGTAATGACTATTCGTTACCCTTCCTCCTAAAGTGGCTAGCTTTGCTTTGTATATGTATACATAACTATCTATATCTATATCTATATATCTATCTATCTATATATAGATGTATATAGATGTATATATATATATATATATATATATATATATATATATATATATATATATATATATATATATATATATATATATATATATATATATAGATGTATATATATATATATATATATATATATATATATATATATATATACATATATATATATATATATATATATATATATATATATATATATAGATGTATATATATATATATATATATATATATATATATATATATATATATATATATATATATATATATATATATATATATATATATATATATCTATATATATATATAAATACAGGGCCGTCCTGAAGACCTCTTCGGGACGGCCATGTATTTATATATATATCTATATATACATCTATATATATCTATCTATCTATGCAAATTCTATAAATAGATATATATAGCCTATAAAAATTCTATAGAGTTCTATGGAATTTCTATAGAGTTTCTGTTATTTTCTATAGAATTTTTTTTTCTACTTTTTTCTATAGAAAAAAAAAGTTTTACAGCAATATCTATAGGAATTTGTATAGGCCATATAATTCAAAAGTTTAAAGAAATTAAATAGAACTTTTTTCCCTGAGTATACACAAAGGGCGATTCAAGAAATTCTGTAAAACTTTTTTTCCTGGGTATACATAAAGAGCGAATTCAAGTGCGAGATTGGGTTGTGGGTAGAAGAGTTGCATCCCCCCCTCTCCCACACTCACCCCCATCATCCATCCCCACCATCAAAGAGGTTGATTTTTAATTTATTGTCAGTTTTTCAGGAATATAATCGACAAGTTGGCATTTGACACACACGTTTTTAATTTTATTTTTCGATACTGTTTGTTATACTACTTATGTATTCTTTGAAAGTTATACAGAAAATGAAAGTTTGTAGTTTATTTTAAAAAAGGAGAATCAAAATAAAGCAGAACAAAATATTGCTGTGATTATTGAATTAAGTTCGATAAAAAGATTAAGTTTGACCAAATTAAAATAATTGTAAGATTTTGAATACAATTGATAGCAATAAAAAAAAGTTTGAAAAAATGTTTGCATTATTTTTAAAAAGTTACTTTTTCAAATGTCAGATTAACGTCAAAAAATTTACACAACCTAAAACGTGTAAAAGATTAGACGTTATAATATGTATAAAAGATTAGACGTTAGCTGATTTGACCACACACTTTTGATTCGACCACAGGTTTTTGTTTTGCCATTTAAAGAATTTAAAATTTAGTAAATAACTAAATTAAAGATTTGAACACTTAAAACACTTCTCATGTAAGATATAATTTGACCTATTTCAAAAAAACTTTTACTTAGTGATCTCCTCTTCGCTACCACTCAATAAACTCTCCTTTTATGAACTTCTATTCCCTCACATCCTACGAAGTATCACAACCCCCTTCAACGTTTCAATAAAAATCAAAACCTTACAAACAAATCAGAATCAAAGTTTTTATTTGACTTACCATGTTTTCCATATAACTGTTTTTTTTTAGGTAATGCGTTGTCCGATAATGCGAGGCATAAGAATGTCAAACAAATGAAGCAGTGCATAACTACCTACGATGATTAATGAAAATAAAAATATCGAACCGCAAAAGATTGTGAAAATCGCAAAAGATTGTGAAAATAAGATTATTAAAATAATTATCAATATAAATTTTTACTTTTTTATAAATATGTTTGATATATAAAAATCTCACCGCTGTTTTTTTTGGTATCACGTCGTATAATTTCATTTCGCATCAAAAGTTTATTTTAATAATAAAAAAAAAACATTAAAAAATACTAATCTCAACGCAAACATTTATGCAAACATGACGCAAGTGGAAAGTGGCGACTCAAAGTACACCCCTGACAGCTGAAAACAAATGCACGTTCTTAGAACAAACTGCGTTGAGGAAACATGCCAAATATATTCTTTAATATCTTATTTGAACCCTTTATTTTCGGTCTGTAATTTGTTCAAAAGTAAAAACGTAAAAGTAAATAAAAGCCTGTTTGAAAAGACATGTAAATCTTTTTTCAAAGATCTAAGGAATTACTGTGTATTAATTATATGCGTTATATAACTAATTGTTTCCAATTAAGACGGTGTAGGTTTTCTATTTTTTTTACTGTTTTTAAGAGGCAAAGTAACAAAGTAGTAACTTGAGAGCAAAATATTAGGGTGATGAAGTTTATCTTCAAAAGCCTGCGACGTTATAACTATTTAAGCTATTTTCAATTTTGAATCACGATTTGATGCGTGAGAAACAACTGTATATGTGAAATATCAATAAATATAACAAATATGCAACCCTGCATTTTAAAGGTTTCTAGTAAATAAGTTATTTTTATTTTATATATTTGTTGCTAAAAGATGGTTACACGCACACACACATACAGACACACATAAACATATATATATATATATATATATATATATATATATATATATATATATATATATATATATATATATATATATATATATATATATATATATATATATATATATATATATATATATATATATATATATATATATATATATATATATATATATATATATATATATATATATATATATATATATATATATATATATATATATATATATATATATATATATATATATATATATATATATATATATATATATATATATATATATATATATATATGTATATATATATATATATATATTTGTATATATATATATATATATATATATATATATATATATATATACATATATATATATATATATATATATATATATATATATATATATATATATATATATATATATATATATATATATATATATATATATATATATATGTGTATATATATAAAAGTATATAAAAATTTCAAACCTAATATTCATTTTGAAAGAGAATTTTTATTTCAACATCGTATCTGAACATTTCAAAAATGTTGTATGCAGTATCGACATTGTTGCATTTGATTTTGACTGTGTTGCAATCACTTTTGACACTATTGCATCAAATTTCGACAGTGTTAAGAATACTTTAATTTTTAAAGTTTTATATGATAATTTAAATTTGTATGCAAACTGAAGTTTTTTAAAAAAATTATCATTTTAAAGTATTGTTATTGAAAATTATTAAGAATGTATATTGTATATCCAAAGAATTATTTTTGAAACCACATTCATAATTTCAGTATCCAATTGAAACATTTTAGAATTTAACAAATAGCCACATTAATTATTTTACAAGTTTGATCGAATAGCATCTAGTGATTACAGTTCTGGCTTCAGAACTGGAGATCCAGATCTATATAGATTTATAGCAGACTTGGATAGATATTTATTACCCTATTGTAAGTAGGCAATAGCTCAGTAGCAATTCCAGACTTTACTTCAAAGGAAACTGGTTACTGGTAAGAGAAGCTAGTTACATTTATACCAAACAAGAAAGATTATGCTTAGAAGTTTCTAGAAGGATACCCAACTCACGTCTATAAACTTGAAGATTTAATTACAGTAGAAAGTTTCTCTTTATTCTTACCAACACAACTATTGCTGTCAATAAGTGGTATCAAACTAGGGGAGATTTTCAGGGTCTTGCATCTTTTAAGATTTTTGTACTTTTGTATGTATATTAAGTGTCACTAATGGTAATGTAAAAGTGACAATAGACTTACCCAAATATTTTTTTATATATCCTGCAATGAAAATCAACGCAAGAATGTATTTCCGAGAGCATAGAGATTTTTTCTTTAAAGTTATGTCATATTCTGAACTGATATTTATGAAGTCTAAAGGTGTTTAAGTCTAAAAGTGTTAGAAAACAACTGTAACAAAAGGTTTTTTAATGAATCTTTAATAAATTTTATTCTTAAAATTACATTTTCTTCACAAAAAAAGTTGACAATTCGTTCCATTTTTACAAAAATTAATTTTTTTATTACAACTCAGTATTTACTCGTAACTGTTGCTAACATAGTAACTGTGTCTAACATAGTAACTGTTTCTAACATAGTAACTGTTTCTAACATAGTAACTGTTTCTAAAATAGTTAAGTAAAATACTTTACTAACATAGGAGTAAAATGCTTTTTAGAGAGACTCTTTATAGGATTAATGGATAGGACACATTAGATTATTAATTTTCTGAAAAAACGGTATACTTTTGATAACATTTGGGTCACCTTAACATGGTATTCTTAAAAATACCTATGTTTAACTTTTAACGTATTATTTGATTTTTTTACATGATCTTTATTCTAACTTAATCTTTAAGTATTTTTTGTTCTTTTTTTTACAGTGACTTCTATTTGATACTACACTTAAAAATTTGTCTTTTTCCCATTTATTAGATGAATGATTACTGATGGTTACTTTCCCATTTATTAGATGTATGGTTACTGTTTTATTAGTATTTTAATGTAACTGTTAAAAAATAATCTTAATATGTTAAAGCAAAATAAAATTGGAAGACTGGGTTTGAATAATAAGTAAATTAAGATAAATGATAAGGTTCATTTTCATCCACTTTGAAAGGACAAATTTTTTCAGTTTTTAAAAATGTTTGTAAAAAATAACTCTAATGTTAAATTTAACACTGTGTAAATTAATCTTGTACTGTCTTTTTAATTGCGCAAATAACTGTCCAACCCATCATGTAATATCTAACTTTAAGTCGGTAAACAACTAATTAATAGTTCACAAAACAAAACTACTATATAAGTATTGTTTATTTAATTACTTAGAAGGCAAACTGCTTAGTTTGCAGTTTATTTATTTTATAACCAAAAAGTTTATTTTCTTAACTTAAGCTCTTCTATTAGTATTATTGCTTTACAAATTAATTTTGAATATTGTTAATGTCTACACAAACCACTAAATTCATAATATTGACTTTGAAAAGTAAACATTGCAAGACAACATTAAGTAGAAAAACACATTTTTGGTAACTTTGAAGTTTAGATGCCAAAAATGTCTAAATATGCTTTTGGTCGCGTTTAGAAGCGTATCAGCCCAAGAGATATAAACATATTTTTTCTAAAAAAGCCAATCACTCCAAAATATATACGAATTTTTTTTAATAAAAATATATCAATATTTTGTAAGTTAGATACATTTTATAATTACTCTCAAATGTTCTTGTTTTCCACTTTCTACAAAAGCAGCTTTAAAAGAATCTATTTTAAAATTCTGATTATAACCCTTGAATGAATATTTTTGGCTATAACGTGATAAAATACCAAGTAAAGGCCGTTTTCTACAAGACGAAATATTCGCGCGAAGCGAATTTTTTCGTCGATAAGCATGCGCAGATAAAACATTTCTAGCAATTATTGCTAATTATTGCGAGAAATGTTTTATCTGCGCATGCTTATCGACGAAAAAATTCGCTTCGCGCGAATATTTCGTCTTGTGGAAAACGGCCTTTAAGAGACTTAAGCCCCATAAACACGCCCATGCCGTCGTTTCTGTTTATAAACTCTTCTTCAGTATAATCTTGTTTTAACAACATAAAAGCCAACCAAAATAACTAGCAATTCTTCAACATTATTCGTAATATAATAACTAATAGTTTTATAATAACTATGTTTGCTCAGGCAACTTCGAGGAAGACTTATATCATTATCCTAGATTTAGCTATTAACCATATCATTAGTTTTTAGATTTAGCAACTAACCATATCATTAGTTTTTAGTTACTAATTATAACATTATCCTAGATTTTAGTTAATAATGATATAATTCTTAACTTCCTTTAAATCTACTATATACAAGGCGCAGAATAACGAAAACCTTTTTAAAAAATTCTCTTATAAAGAATAATCTTGATCGGGCCTTAGATTGCTACTAAGTAAGACAAATAGTTTTGATTGTTACTAAGCGAGACAAATATAGGCGACAAACTATATCTAAAGTATTTATTTTTAACAATATAAAAACACGTTTCTTGAAAGAGAGTTCTCACAAATACCAAGTTACCAAAAAAGCAAAAAGTTGCACAAGTTACTCTTATCTCGACGTCTAGAGAAAACTGTTTTGAGATGTAGAGCAATATCGTTTTTTTTTAATTATTATTATTAGTTATTTTTGCATAAAAAATAAATAATATACTTTTAATACAAAAAGAAAATGTTTATTTTGAAAATCCAAAAGTAAATTATTTATTTATTTAATGAATTTTTTAAACACTTATTGATAGTGATTGGCGTTGTACAGAGAATAGTTAAAAACGTAAAAACTAAAAAATCATAACTAATGTCAAGTTTGTGTATTAATAATATTAAAATAATAACAAACTTAAAAAAATAATTTAAGTTCCATAAAAATACATGAATAAAATTCTCACATAAAAAGAGTTCAATATTTATTTCATCAACTTTATATGAGTACTAGTATAAGTTCTTGATCAGTAATCAATCATATCAAAGTTTAAAACCAAAGTTATAGCTAAAATTTAAATAAAGATCGTCGTAGAGAGGCAGCACCAGGCCCCTCTAATCTCACAGTCTTAAGATTTTAAAGACAGATTTTAAAACAGAATTTTTTCTAAAGAGCAAAAAGTTGTCTAATTGCAAAGTTGTTTATCCAGACGCTGACCAGGACCCCGAAGGTTGTAAACCAATCTAGCTAAGAGTTGCATCAGTGACACTTAAAAAGGGACCTTGTCAATATTTCGAGTATTCTTGAACCAATGAATAAGGTTCTCCGGCCTTCAAGAGTCCTTAAACCAACCATTAAAAATTTCTAAACGTATAGATAGCGATTTATCTTAGCGATCATTTTGTTTGCAATTTTAAGTTGTTTGACATTATCTGTTTAATAAACTTTTTAAGAAAAATAGAAACTCATGGTATAACAAAATACAATACATAAAAAATTAGTC